ACACTGGTTTCATCACAAAGTAAATACTTATTCCCAAACTAATGATTTCAAATACGAAACTACTTTTATGTTTAATATTTTTCAAGTTGAAACCTTCAGTGATTCCATTATTCAGCTCAATTTTTTATGACCAAAAAATTGGCAAAAGTAGCAGTACTATATGTTTTGTAATACTAAGTTTCAGTGTTAAATATCTTTATAGCAAGATTTTCTTTTAAAACATTAAAACAAATCTGAAGACTCTGGACTTTGAAATAAGCCTTGATTGATTCAGTCCAAACACCTCTTTTCAAGAATTTGAAATCATTCAGGAACCCAGCATGAGGGCAGGGAGGCTCAGGACCATAGTCTTTGGGAGACACTAAGGTCAGTTGGTATAACAATAGTCCACAATGACAGTCCTCTGCATCCTACTTTGGTGATTAGTGACTGAGGTCTAAGCTTGTAAGCGGCCATCTAAGGTGCAACTATTGGTCTCTCCCCATCCAAAGTAAACAGTGAAGAAACAAAAAATGGAAGTATACTGTTAATCCCAAGGACTGAGGTACCACGCAAACCCCAGCTGCCATGACAAGAAGACAAGAAGAACTAGATAGTACCCAGCAACGAATGCCAGCCGCTCTGAAAGGGGTCACAGTAGGAGGTCCTGGGTAGAATGGGAGAAATATATGGAACAAAAATCAAAATTATAAAAAAGACCAGGCTTACTGTTCTTTAGCTAAAGCCTTGAGAGTAACAACAGCTGCTTAACGATATGCCACTAGAAAGATGCTGTAGTGAAAAAATACAGAAATGGAGACTGGTGGAACCCCCAAGACTTTGACCCTTAGACACCCTTCAAGCCAAGAACTGAACTCAACCCCTGTGTTTCAGATTTCAACCAAACAATAGGCCTATAAAAATAAACAGTAATAGCAGGAGGGTATGCTCTCAGAGCAATCAACCATACTGAGATCAGAAAGGTAGCCTTTGCCCAAGGATAAAGCTAAGAAGGCAGGAAGGGATAGAAAGAAGAATGAGGGAAAATGATAAGCAGAGGAAGGAAGTGGGAAGAGTGCAATTGCAATGGGGGGATTGCAATGAATGTTACAAAACAAAATGTGTATGAATTGTTTAATTTTAATTAAAAATCAATTTGCTCTGTAAACTTTCACCCAAATCATCATTAAAAACAAAGCAAGAAACTACATCATATTTTATGTCTCTGTTTAGAGCCAGATGTAGACAGATTATTAATGATAACAAATAATCTGTTTCATGACACTGCTGTTAGCACTATCACCAGCCATGCTAGGTAAACATATTAAAATTTGTTGTGGAAGATAATATAGGTTTTTTTGTTTCAATTTTTTAATTTTTTTTTGTTGCTTAGTCATTGATATAAAATAATTGCATTTACAAGAAAAAAAATGTTTGAGATATCAGACAATTAAAGGAGGCAAATAATTGTATACCAAACCCTGCATAGCTATGCAAGTATCACCATGAACAATTAAGTTCATTTGACAGGATAGTTGAAATATCATTAAATATGTTTTACCAAAGTGCACATAATTTTCATTAATACTTCTCTTGATGAAAATGTAATTTTGTCTAAACAAGATATTAGCTAACACACTGATTGTTAGACATGGATTGAATTTTATTTACATTATCTCATCTAATACAACAGCCTTTTGAGTTATAGGTATTAGATATTATCATTATTATTTTCCACATTGTTGTTGTTGTTGTTGTTATGTGCTGTCGAGTCGGCCCCGACTCGTAGCGACCCCTCCTTGGGTTTCCGAGGCAGTGTCACTACGGAAGTGGTAAAGCCACTCCCCCAAGTTCCTGTAATTAATAACTAGTAGAGCCAGGGTTCAAACTCAGGTCTGCCTGATTTCAGATCCCACAACACTGTGCTGCTTCCTTGAGTTGGTCCACAATTTATGCAAAGGATGGCATGTCCTTTTGAGAGTTTTATCACTTTTCTGACAGTTTTACCTGTATTCCACGACCCTGTTCTAAACAAGAATTGGGATTGGAGATGGAACACTATTGACACCCTTTCTATAACTGCTAACCTTATGATATTAATCTTCCTTAGACTGATTTATGGCCCAGGGCTAGTCATCCTGTGTTCTTATCCAGTATGAAGGACTGCTGTTAAAAAAAAAAAAAAAAAAAGTCCCAAAGGCAACTTACAATATTGCTTAGCAGCAGGAGAATAGATGATATGGTATAATCTTGCTGTTTTTATTGTCTGAATCATGTGAAAATGAAATATAACCTGCCCTGTTTTCTTTGTCTGAATTATGAGTACATAAGCTTCAACCATCCAACCTCCCTAGAATTTTTCTTTTCTTTTTTTTAAAAGAACCAGCTGCTGGTTTTCTACCTGCTGGATGCTTTCTGAATCACATTATCCAGTGCTCAATTTAAATGATCCCCATTAAAGTCCAGAGCCTAGGGAAATTCACTCTGATTCTCTGTTCTTTGGCAAAAGCCTTGAGAGTAACAACAGCTGCTTAACCATATGCCACTAGAAAGATGCTGTAGTGGAAATATACAGAAATTTATATTATATGCCTGAAATCTTAAAACTTCAAACACTGTATTTACCGTGTTTGATTTTATACCTTTAGCTGTGCAAAGGCCGGGGCTTTGAACTGGTTTGGACCAGTTCGGTCATGGCCAACAAAACAAAACCAGGACAGACCGGAATTTGCTGGAAACAAGAAAATTACAGGTTGAAGCCCTGGAATGGGAGACTCGAAAGAAATGTACTAACCCTTTGAGGAGCCTGATATGGGCAATTGAATTATTGCCAGAACTGTGGAGCAGCATGGTCAACTGCCATCTTTGAGCTGGGCACCGTTGTTTCTGACTCTACCAAGAAAGAGTTTCCGTTGCTATACAACATGCATGCTTCCCTTATTTTCTAGAGGGAGATTAAGTTTATAGCAGGGAGTTGACCTATAATTTTCCCCATTCTAGTTACCATGCCAGACATCCACATTTTGCAAATTCTGATTTGTCTTGGTTTTGGTTCATCAGCCATGACAGAGCCAGGAAGAACCAGTTTGAAGGACTGGCAAAGGCAAAAAAGAAAAGTAAATAGCATTATTTAAAATGACAATGTTATGCTAGTGAGCTTAATCATGGCAATTTCTAGACACTTTCTTGCTAAGTTAAATACAGTTATCCATACTGAAAATAGAATACCTTTCCTTTTGACTCAGGGTCTTAAGCTGTCAAATTTGTGTCAGAATTAAGTTTTACTTAGTTGTAATATGACATGGCATACTCAAACATTAAACCAACTTAAAATTCCTTATAAATTTTGTGGATAAATCTATATTTCCAAGAATTTAATTTTTATAGTTTAGCCACACGTTTAGGAACTGATACCATTATTGAGGTATGTGTCATGAATGGGTAAAGTATCTATCTTCTGGGGCTTCTTTGCAAAAAATTTCCCCACATTTTTATATCATTAATAAGTCCTTTTTTTTCCTGTCTCTCTCCTTTTATCACGTAAACTTTTGTAATTCCAAGCAGTTCTCTGTAAACAGGGAGAAGTGAAAAAGTATGCTAGACTTATTTTTCATTATCAACAAGTAACCTATTATAGTGGCCATTATCCAAGCAATTGTCCAAACAGGTAGTAAATATAAAGTGGATCATGACTTTTTTCAATCTTAAAAATTATATTTTTGACATTCTTTTAAGTTTTACTCAAATTCCAAGTTACTCCTAATAATTTTAAAAATTTCTGGTCACCAATTTGTTTTTGTGAGTCCTTAATGTAAACAGCTGATTAAAACCATGTTTTAAGGTCACATCATGCTTATACTCATAAAAGTTATTAAATATATATATATAATTTAAGTATATATATATGTATATACATATATAATGATTTTTTTCCAAGTTTTTGAAATACACACAAGCACACATGTCAGTAGTCAATTTGGGTTTATAAAATAAGAATTTCTTATTTGGAGAAGAGATCGTGAAAAGTAATTACTTGTATTAGTTAAAAATTTTCTCCTTTAATTTTTCCTCATTGAATTTGTTTGCCCAGAAAAAAAAAAAAAAAAAAAAAAAGCTGTATATTTTAAGGCCAACACCAAATAGGAAATCTTGGCCTGTTATTTTCTAAATATTTTTACACTAGAAGTCCAGTATGCTTAACATAAAAGTATAGCTGCTGTAGTAGAAGGTCACTGTAATAGATAATAGTGTGTAGTGTTTAGCTCCTCTGAAAGTCAAGTAGAAGTAGGAGAGACTGAATACACCTCTGAGAAATCTATAGGGCTACATGAAGAAGAATTGGAAAATTAGTCTACAGTATGCTTTTTAATTTAAACAAAAACAAAACCAAATAGTCAGTTATTACTGAGCTATTTATCATGGAGTTCTAGGTGTCTAATTTATAAGGTCTCTGAATTAGACTTCAGGGCCCATGTTACATTTTATTACAGTCTACAACATAAGTGTAGACTGGCAAGAATTAAACTAAAAGCCTGTTTCACAGCTGTTATGCATCTGGGAGTTTGGTTAAAAGGGTCTTACTTAGCTTAGCCTGAGTTGTGATAAAAAGCAGGGTCTAGAGGCCTTTTAACTAAAGTCTACTGCTCTGATCAGAGCTGTATTTAATACTGGCCCATAAGTCCACATAATTATAGTTTGTAAGAGTCTATAGGACATCAGTAACTTTTAAATCTTACCATGTGAAAAATTATTATGTCACCTGTGGTCTTTAAAAAGTAGCCAGCAAACTAGGATAAAGATGACGATCAAACCAAATATTTCTGAAATTCTGTCTCAGTTTTGCATTTATAATGTTCCAACTATTAATTGTAATATACTACTACTTTTAATATGTTTTAATGGAGAATTTTAGTTCTGATAAATGAATGCTTCATATCAGATTTGTTATACCATTGGGAAAGATGGGTTACTTACTTAATGTAAACTTCTTATTACATTTTGGCTTCCTCCCAGTCTTGCAGATGGGTCAGGGGCTGTGGAGAGTGGCCAGAAACCAGCAGCTGCAACAGGAAGGCTTTAGTGAGCAAGGCTACCTGACCAGAGAGCATAGCAGGAGAATGGCTGCAAGCAACATTTCCAATGCCAGTCATCGTAAACAAGTCCAAGGAGGCATTGACATATATCATCTTTTAAAGACAAGGAAGTCTAAAGAACAGGAAGGATTCATTAATTTGGAAATGTTGCCTCCAGAGCTAAGCTTTACCATCTTGTCCTACCTGAATGCAACTGACCTTTGCTTGGCTTCATGTGTTTGGCAGGACCTCGCTAATGATGAACTTCTCTGGCAAGGGTAAGTTAAACACCCCAATATTTGACTCAAACATCTTTAAGAATAATCACGTTCTGTTTAGGAGATATATATATTTGTACATATAGTGTGAAATATTTATTTTTAACTTGTACTTTGTGTTGTTCTTTATTAAAGTTTGGAAAAATAAAGATAAAGATACCATAACAATCAAATGTGATATGGGAAAAAAACAGTGCAAAAGAAGATACCCTGTTTATGAGTATTCTAATCACTTTATAGTTAGAAGAGAGGTTACCATTCAAGATGTGTTCGTTTATTATAAATCAGAAATTGTCAGTTTATTCTAAAGATACAGCAAAATTGTGAAATAAAAATTTATAACCCAAAACTTAGAATGTTCACCCATATGTTTGTTTCCCGTATATAATTCCTATCTGAAGGCTAACCATACTTAAAAATCAATAACTGTTTCCCAAATTTTAATGTTTTCATAGGTTACAAATGGAGTGTGTATGTGTGTTTTCTTTTTTTAAATTCATTATATATTTCTATCAGCAGTGCTAGCATATAAACTTTAAAAGTGAAAATTTTGGTCACTTTAATAAATATTAGGTGGCAGGAGAATAAACAATCTACTTACTGAACTAGAAGTATAATATAGAAATTTTAGCAGCTGTTGTACTAATTTAAATTTAAACTATAAATCTGAGAAAGTTTGGCAGAATTGAATCTAAATTACTCCTTATATCGCATCATACAATTTTAACTATGTAATTTCTTTTATTTTCTTTTGAGTCCTGGATTTTCTAGCATTATTGACCAAAGTTTCTTTAAGTTTTCATTATTTTTAAATGGGACTTCATAAAGATCTAGACCATACAAAAAATAAAAGCCTTTTTTATACTATAAATAATAAAACCTAATTTAAAAAAAAAAAAACTTAATTGCTTTTGAGTCACGTCCGGCTGGCTCATAGCAGCCCAATAGGACAGAGTAGAACTACCCCATAGAGTTTGAAGGCTGTAAATCTTTTCATGAAGACTGTCACATCTTCCTCCCATGGAGCAGCTATTGAGTCTAAATTACTGACCTTTCAGTTAGCAGCCAGGCACTTTAACCACCGTGCCACCAGGGTTCCTAAAACCTGATTAAGAGACTTAATAAATTAATATAAATTGACAAACTTTATGAAAAATGTGCTACCAGTAATGATATCACCATTTTAGGCTTTCTAATGCCACAGAATTATAGTATTAAATATAAGTTCATTTCTCCACCTATAAATATCATTACCATATTTATTTATAATCTCTTTTCTACATTTTGGTACTCCCCAACAAACTTTATTTGTAATCCTATAGCTGAACTTATTTAAAAAAAAAAAAAAAAAAA